ATGAAACTTTCAATATATGTTAGTTTCTTAAAAATATTAGTAATACTATCTACTGCCAAACTGGAAGAAATCTCTGTATTTTAAAATAAAGATTACTGAAAAGAATATGTTTACCGGTCAATAGAAAGGCATCAGTTGTTTGGCCTCTTTATCTGCTCATTATTCATTTTAGAGAGGAAATGTATTATCTCACGATCCTAAACTCAAGCAATAAAAATTCCTGTCTTACACATAGGCCTATTGTACTCAAAGATCTGATCTACTGGCTTTACTTTAATCTAATTGACGTTTTATTTATAAGTAAGTAAGATAATCATTCACTTAAAAATATCTAAACGGTAATGAAGCTATTATCATTGTCAAAGAAACCCTTATATTTTTGCTAACATTACATATTTTGACTTCTTTTTAATAGATGTCGCTAAGCTCTAACAACGAAACATGTAAATGAATATTTCTAGTCAGTCATTAAGCTTCTATAATACCTTTAATTAGCTTGCTGGTAATACATACGTGACAGGGACTACTGTACCTGCAATAAGTTCTTTAGTCGCTAGGGAATGAATACTGTTAAGAGTTTCTAGACTATCTATAAAGTTTCGAAGGTAATTCGAGCTTTATTCAATGGAAAGTTTACTCCCAGAATTTAATATTGTATTCTGAACGTCATTTACAATGTTGGCCTTCATTAACAAATATAAGATATAATGTTTACTTTAAGTGAGTTCTATTCTATTTTAAATATGTGATCCGAATTATGATAACCCAAATGCATTATCTTGAACTAACTATAATTAAAGGCCATTTGCCATGTATTTGTCTAACCGATTGATTTAGGTTATTCTATAATACCTAACTATCCTGAATAAAGCTAGCAATTATAGAAATATAGTTTAATGACATCTGTTATCTTTACTAATTACTCCCCTATAAGTATCTTTAATGAAAATAAGAAAAAGCAAAGGCCCAATAACTGACCTTTGAGGCACTTCACTACTAAGAAAGGTCCAGTTTGAGTAGACTCTATTAATGACAACTTCTTGCCCTCTCTCGTACAATCATGATACAATCCAATGTACATCAATCTTTCCCAAACACCCATTGATGAGATTTCCTAATATTTTGTGTGGCACCTTATCAAAAGCTTTTAGAAAATCAAAGTACGCCAATTTCACATCGTTTTAATCATCCAGCTAACATCTAATATTCTCTATAAAATTAGCATATTAGTAAAGGAAGATTTCCATATAAAGAAGCTAAGTTAATTCTCTTTTATGATGTCATATTTCATTATAAGTTATTTTACCTGAACTTCTAAGAATTTTCCGACAACAGAAGTGTGACAAACTGTTCTATAACTTCTAGGGCAATTCTCCAGTCCTTAAGTATCTGTCCATTGTCTACTTATCTACCAAAACCGAAAGGGAGAAGCTCATATATATGTATATGTATATGATGTTTCACATCTTTCAAAATCCTGGAAAAACATGATTCTCCAGGTATAACAAGGGTATAAAAAATCCCACTTTTACTACATTTTACATTAAATCACGCCTATGAGCCTAGACTCCTTCAAAGTATTGAATACAGATGTTTATTAATTATTTGTGAAATGAATATATCAGTCCACTAGACTGGTGAAATGATTGTGTGTTACTGATGAAAGTATAGAATATGGTACACAGATGCATTTTGACATGGAGACTAAATAATAAGTTGAAGCTACCAATTTTAAAACCTTTTAGAAGTGATAAAGGTTTTGGTTAATCAGAAAATGTAATGTTATTGAGCATATGTATCAATAAAATGTAATTTCAATGCAAAGGTCTAATTAATAATAGCATTTAATACATACATTTACTTTAAACTTTGGACTTACTTAATCCTTCGAATTTCTATTGGATTTTTGTTCTCAGTAAAGCTCAAATACCATTAAAATAATTCCAAGACGATTTTAAACACTTTATGTTTCTTCATTGCACATACATTTTTATAGAAATGTATTTACTTTTAAATCAATAGTAATTATCAATTAAACATTTTTAGCATTATTCATATGAGCGATATCCACTGCGTTCACAGAAAGCAGTACAAGGTAGGCAGCATGGCTTTTTTGCACTTACAGTACTCTCCACACCAATTTTTGCGTCCACATTTCACAAACAATTGACACGTTTTTTCTGCTTTGGAACGCTTTGAACATAGTGTCAACCATTTTCCACAGTCTGTCTTGTACAGTCCCCAGTCAGTCATATAGTAAAGGACAGATGGAAGTAGGAATGCTTTATCCCAGCAGTAGCCAGTTTGATGGGCTGCTCTTTCTTTCCGAATTGTACTCTTTTAGGGTATACACTTGTTTTCTATCAACATTAAGCCTTGTATGAATACTTGTTCTATCATAGAAGAATACAGTGAATCATTCCAGGGCTTGCTTTTCTTATCAATAAATTTCTGAGGCTTGTGACAATTTGTGAAATGCTATTGTTGCCCTGGGATAGGCCTTCTAAGTGTCTCGGGTAATTTTTACTTCTTCCACTGAATGATTGTTTGTTTGTTTTGAATTTTGCGCAAAGCTACACGAGGGCTATCTGCGTTAGCCGTTACTAATTTAGCAGTGTAAGACTAGAGGGATGGCAGTTAGTCATCACCATCTACCGCCAACTCGGTGGGATTGACCGAGCATGTTTGGTGGGACGAGGATTCGAACTCGCAACCCTCAGATTGCAAGTTGAGTGCCCTAACCACCTGGCCATGCCGGGCCCCCACTGAATGAAGACACTGCATTATATTTTCTAAAGCAGTAAAATAAATTCAATGCCTGTCCAAGACCAGTTACTTCTTCATTCACTGGGATGTAATGCAAATTGCTGACAACACCAAAATTATCCAGAGTTTCTCAAAGTCTAGTAAAGCTGTCACTGAAACAGCTAGCGCTACCAAATCATTGTTAACAGTCTTGATAACAATATTCTTGCTTTCCTGTGCAACTGCATCTGTCGCATGCAGAAAAGCCTTTTATCTACTTCTTAGATATAAGTTGTCATTGTAGTGACTGTATAGTTTTTGGAAGATTTTGCTGTGCCTCATCATAAAACATTAACGATTGCACGTCCATCCAGTAACTAGCATTCAACAGCTGGCATGTCTTCCCATGACTGAGAATATTCTTCCAAGCATATCAGAATATCAAACTGTACGTTGACGTATCTTTCCTTGGTGAGACAAACCATATTAATAGTGAGATATCAGTATAATCTTCATTTTGCAGTAAACTATATCCATAAAAACATACGTCAAAATACATTTCCAAGGTATTCTTACTGCCATTTTTTATAAGTACAGTTGATGTTTAAAAAAAAAAGGAAATACATCATTTTGGTAATATTTCTAATCATAAGCAATGCTCTAAAGTTCTTTGTATTTAGACCTCTTATTTTTAAATTTTCCTAATTTATACGAATAATGTATCATATTACGATTTTTTAAACAAATAAAATACAGATATTCTGTTTTTAAACACAATCTCATAAAAACTTAATTAAGTTGAACTCTATTTTTTGTAACTTGACTTTGAGTTTATACAGTCAAATGATAATTTTACAAACATAAATTTAAGAAAAAGCATGCAAAAACCTTTGATTCAAGATCTTTTAAAGCCTGAACCCTTCTTTATCAGCAGTTTGCTCCTGATGAAACATGGTCTATTATTCAAAAGTGTTATAATCAAGGATTTTTATAATTATAAAATAACTTTTATAATATTTATGGAGTATTTAAGTCCTTTTAACTCACCGTTTAATGTTTCATTAGTTTACTGACTCAAGCTGGGCTAATATGAGCTTTAAATAAGTGAAACCATAATCCATAACAGAAGGTACTGTGAATAAAATAATACATTAGCCTTTTATTAGCAGGGGCGTATCTACGGAAAATAGCGCCTGTGGCAAGTACTGAAATTGCGCCCCTG